CACAACTGTAGCTGAATGCTAACAGTATCAAAGCAGTAGCTATATGTTAAAAGATGCACAACTGTAGCTGAATGCTAACAGTATCAAAGCAGTAGCTAAATATTAAAAAAGGCACAGCTGTATCTGAAAGCTAACAGTATCAAAGCAGTAGCTATATGTTAAAAGATGCACAACTGTAGCTGAATGCTAACAGTATCAAAGCAGTAGCTAAATATTAAAAAAGGCACAGCTGTAGCTGAAAGCTAACAGTATCAAAGCAGTAGCTAAATATTAAAAAAGGCACAGCTTTAGCTGAAAGCTAACAGTATCAAAGCAGTAGCTAAATGTTAAAAAAGGCACAACTTTAGCTGAAAGCTAACAGTATCAAAGCAGTAGCTATATGTTAAAAAATGCACAGCTGTAGCTTAAAGCTAACAGTATCNACTAGTCTTTATAACATGGTCACCAGGCTGTGTCTGGTTACTAGTCAGTGTAACTGGTTACTTGTCTTTATAACATAGTCACCAGGCTGTGTGTCTGGATACTAGTCTGTGTAACTGGTTACTAGTCTTTATAACTGGTTACCAGTTAGTGTAACTAGTTATCTGTCTGGTTACCAGTCTGTATTACTGGTTACCAGTCAGTGTAACTTGTTATCTGTTTGGTTACAAATAAGCATATCTGGTTACCAGTCATTCAACTGGTTATTGTATGTATAACTGGTTACCAGTCAGTTTAACTAGTTACCAGTCTTGTTAACTGGATATCAGTTTGTTTACTAGTCTGTGTATCTGGTTACAAGTTTGTATAACTGGTAAAACGTCATTAAAACTGGTTACCAGTCTTTTTACTGGTCTCTGTAACTGGTTACAAGTATATATAACTGGTTACCAGCCAGACTACTAGTCTGTGTAACAAGTTACTAGTCTTTATAACTGGTTACCATTCTGTATAACTAAATATTAATCTGTATGACTGGTTATGGGTCTGGTTACCAGTCTGGATTACTGGTTACTGGTCTGGTTACTAGTCTGTGTAACTGGTTACTAGTATCTTTAACTGGTTAACAGTCTGTATAACATATCTGTATTACCAGACTGGTTAGCAGTCATTGCTAAATGGTTACCAGTTTAATTACTAGTCTGTGTTATTGGTTATTCGTCTGTTTAACTGGTCACAACTAGATAACACAGATAAGGCTCATAAATCAGACGTTATTTTGAAATCGTAGTCTTTTCTGAGATCTGTTGTTTGGTTGAAAACAGTAAAAGTCTGTAGTAAAACATTCAGAACTAGAGAAATTTTAATAAAGAGAGGGCTGATACTGAACTGTTAAGCTAAAACAAGCCTATACCTCAAGCTGAATGCTAAACGGATTTAAACAAGCTGCTGTACCCTGAAACTCCAACCACATTATTTCCTCTCAGGCAAACACGACTCATCAACGGACAAATGTGAACTAAAATCAGCAAACACTCACCTTCTTCTGCCACAGTTAGAAAAATGCAGAGTCGAATCGAGGCCACCTTCTCTCTGATGGTCCAAGCCTAAAAATCGGGTCCTCATAGAACCACGGGGTTGACAATTTAATGAAAACATAATTAATTAGAAATAAATGATGTGAGGTTTAAAAAAATTGTGGGTTTGATTGACAGTCGCTCTGGCCAATCAGTGACCTGCATTAACTCTTGAAGGGTGGGTTAATCTGAAGCAGAACCAAGTAGAGCCAATAGAAAAATGACCAAATGTTCTCTCCAATTTGTGCAAATTAAAATGATCCAGAATGTCCCTTTAAGGTGTTTTTTTTTAAAGCTGCGATGAGAGCAGCTCTGCAGACTGTGAGAGCTTCGGTACCGGAATCCTGCTGTTTTTGGACTGAACCTCATCTCAGACGTGTCATTGCGAGCTGAGGAAACTTTGGCATCAAAGCTCACCTTTAAACAGGCGGACCTGAGCGCGTGCAGCTCTCCCTCCTCCTCCTCCTCCTCCTCCTCCTCCTCCTCCTCTCTCTCCTCCCTCTCTCTCCTCACTCTCAGCTGCAGTGGATCAGACGCAGAGCTCCATCTCTGCGCGCTGCACATCCGCTCATCTGCCGGGAAACGGCCGCCTGAACGCCGGGAGAAAATGTCGCTTCCGCCGCTGAGTCCCTCCAGCCGCGTCTCGTCGAACCGCTCCATCATCTGACCCGGACTCTGCTGGTTCTGTCGGCTCCGATCCGCGTTCCGATCCAGTAGAAAAACAAAGAGTCGTGAGTTAAAAGAGAGAGAGAGAGAGAGAGAGAGGCAGAGATCTATTTTTATGATCGTGTTTTTTTTATTTCATTTTTTTTGGGTTCGGATCGCAGAACCTTCCTCATCATGTGGAGATGAGCTGCAGGATCATCTGGGTCCGTCAGGCTCCGCGTCCTCCTCCTGGGTCCTGATGAACCGACTCGGTTCCGAAAATAAACTCCATGTTTTAAACCAGATCCCAGTAAAGAACCGGATCAGATAATTCTGTCTGAAAAGCATCAGATCTTCTGTCAACTTGAACTCCGTCCCGGTCCGCTCCGGTCCGGTCCGGACACGTGTTGAGTTCACTCCAAACCGTCCAGCTGCTCATTAAAAAAAAAAAAAAAAAAAGGGCAGGCTAACCTTGGCCTGGTTCGGCTCGGCTCACCTTGAACCAGCATGCTGCTGATGCTGTCCTCCTCCGGTCCTCGGAACCGGCTCCTCCGGGCTTCTCTCACCCTCCTTCTCCTCCTCTGGCCTCTTCCGTCCGCAGGGAAGAAGAAGCTCTACATCGGAGCCCTGTTCCCCATGAGCGGGGGCTGGCCGGGGGGCCAGGCGTGCCTTCCCTCGGCCCAGATGGCCCTGGACCTGGTCAACAACCGGACCGACATCCTGCCGGACTACGAGCTGGAGCTGATCTACTATGACAGCATGGTGAGTCCTGATGTGGAGCGGGGGTCCAGGAGGTGGTCTGAAGTGATGCGAGCTGTCACAGAGGGACCCCCCACCCCCACCGCCACCAACACTTTTTAATTAAATCCATAAATTTCATTAAACACCTGCAGGATTAATTACAGAACATGATTATTTCAACACTGCTGCACCTAAAATGAGTTTATTATGAAAAACATTTTCATGTGGATTTTTTTTAACAAAATAAAAGACTGCATTCTTTAGGAGTGAAAAATAAAAGTCTTTAACAAATCATCTTTTGATGAAACTGTAGCTGTTCTGGTGAAACCTGTAAAACTGATGATGTGTTGGAGACAACTCTCAGCTAAAGATTCAGCTCAACATCTAAAATCCACTGATTCGGCTCATTTCTGTCAGGGTATGTTGCTTTAATCGTTTAATGCTAAGAACATGTAGCTGAAAGCTAACAGTATCAAAGCAGTTGCTAAATGTTAAAAAAGGCACAGCTTTAGCTGAAAGCTAACAGTATCAAAGCAGTAGCTAAATATTAAAAAAGGCACAGCTGTA